ATTGAGACAAAAATGTCATAAATTGTAAACCGTAAAGCATGCAGGACTTTTTCACACAGCTGTATATATATATAAAACAGAGAAAAAGAAAAAGAAAATTATAAAAGTAATATAGGTAAATATTTAATTTCTTACTTCCCCTTTCTTTATATTACAACTGATTTGCAGTATCAGTTGAGCATGTTAATAACATTTGAATAATTTTTGTCTCAATCTCATTTGAGGACCCGGATTGTTGGGAGCAATATGCTGACTCTGTAAACCGCTTAGAGAGGGCTGAAAGCCCTATGAAGCGGTATATAAGTCTAACTGCTATTGCTATTGCTATTTGCTCTTGAGTCATCACTACAAGATCAAGAATGCCTCTCAGAACCCAATAGGAAAAAATGGTCAGCTTTTTTTTAAAGGAATAGGGTACAGCCTGAATTGGGTAAAAATGTAAATTTCTCCATCAATCCATCGATTCTTCCAGTATATCATTTGCTTTATGAGGGAGACCCATAATGCTTAACAAAAGCTATCAGTGTAACAATAAAATTTAGCCCAGAACAATCAGTGTCATACAATTATTATAATAAATAAGAAGCTATACAATAATGTATGAACATAAAATGTGATGGCAGCATTTTAGACAGTGTTTTGGACAATGCAGTTCAAAAATGAAGCTCACCATTATAGAGAGAACCTCCTTCAGCATATTCCATTACAAGACATACCTAAGGAGGAAAAAATCAGAAGACCAATTTATTATTTTTTTAATATGAAAGAAGTATTTAGAACAATGATTCTTATGATAAACTCCCATCTTATTTTAATAATATATACCACATTTTTTGGACTATAAGCCTCACCTAGTTTTTGGGGAGGCAAGCAAGAAAAGAAAATCTGCCTCTGCCTCCCAGTGATTTGCCTCCTTGCAGCAAAAAGCAAGGTCAGCTTCAGCACAGCCTAATTTAGTATGTGCAGCTGATTGGTGGTTGGATCTGCCTCCTATCAGCTGTTCCCGGCTGCGGGAATCATCCCCACATATCGTCGCCTTTGTGCGCCCCGTTTTCGGCCTCTGCAGGTTCCATTTTCGCTCTCTGCACATCTTGTTTTTGGCTCATTCCAAGTGGTAGGGATCACTCCCGCTGTTTATTCCTGCCACCTGAAATAGGCCAAAAATGGGGCACGCGGGGTCTGAAAACGGGACCCACAGAGGCAGCAATAGGTGGCAGTGGCAATGGGCAGCAGCAATCCCTACAGTCTGGAACAGCTGATAGGTGGTATTCCGGAAGGCAGATCCAATAGCCAATGAGCTGCATGTGCTAAATCAGGCTGTGCTGAAGCTGAACAGGCTGTTTGCTGCAAGGAGACAAATTGCTGGGAGACAGAGGCCGAAGGGTGGAGGCCAGCAGGTGGGCGGGGTTTCGGCAACATTTGCTCTATAAGACACACAGACATTTCCATCCACTTTTTGGGGGGATGTATGGGGGGAAGTGTGTCTTATACACCAAAAATATGGTAATTCTGTTTTAATCCTAAAACTTGCAGAAACAACTACATGTATAGATTTGGTCAGCGATGTAATTGCTCTATTTTTTTCTTTTTTCTGCTTTATTCAAGTACACAATGCATATGCACATTAACACATATTAAAACTCCTGGTAATACTCTTATGGTCATCTACAATATGTTTCAGTTGTTAACATTTATGCATGGTGATAAAAGAAAATAAATTTTAGAAGCTCTTCATTTAATTTAGAACCAAAACAAAGTAGTGAAACACTGATCAATAAATCTACAGAACAAAGCTGGAATGGAAATTGGAAACTTGTATATTTCAAACTGAATGCGAAAGGACTTCTTGTCTCATAAATGAAAATTTCAACTTAGAATATGTAAATAAACCAATAAAACCAAAAAAGACACAGATATTTCACTTAAAGAGACTGTCCAAAAGTGGTTACTTACTGGATTTAAACAAGCTCCATATAACTTGACGATATTAGGATGATTCACACGTGACAACTGTCGAAGCTGAAATTTTAAAAAGCAATGTATTTTAAGTTCTCTTACATAAAACTTTTCTTTGTATAAATAATCATAAAAAGCAGTTTAATGATATATAGATAATATTCTGCATACACATAGGAAAGAGCAGCACATCAGTTCCATGTTTAAATTAGTCAGAGTATATTGGCTAATGCAAAAGCTATCTTTTAAAAAGAATGTCTGAAAAATTACTGGGCAAATATAACTCTCTTAAGTGGATGTGGGTATGCCAATTTATCAATGTGATTGTTAAATGCCTCTGATATTGATTTGTATTTCAGTTCAACAATCTTCCCTATGTCTTTCAACTGCTCTCAATCTATTCTCTATGCTGGGAGTATCTCATAATATCAGATATAATTAACAGTGTCTATAATTGATTTCAGAAATATGTTTATCAGTTCTGTCTTGGGATAATGCTGTAATACAATTGCTTTATAAACTACAGCATCTTTTAGAAAGACTCTCCTACATCCACACATTTCCAACAAAGAATTTGAAAGACTAGGAACACTTGGCTTGTTATCAAGAGCAAATGATAGACCACATGCCTTCATTTCAACTGCAGATAATTTCAAGATAGAATAGTTTGCCTTTCTCTTCCTTCAATCCTGTACCCCTAATTCTAAGCTTCTGCACTCAAATACAAAGAAAGCTACTGGACTGGGCGCCTTTCAGACTGCCAAAAGATTTAAGGAAGAAGCAGCTTCATTCCATTATTATTATTATTATACAATTGTATCACAGCGGCCAGTTGTTTCGCCGGATTTGGCATTGGTTACTAGTCGGGCCCCACCCAGGGGCCTAGGACGTCGTAACGTATTTTCGCAATATGCGTGCAGATCCAAGCAGTGCGGCTTTTTGCATTTGACTGATGGTGATTTTGTCAATTTTTAACTGTTTTAAATGTAATTCCAGTGCTTTTGGAATAGCACCCAGTGTGCCAATTACCACTGGAATTACCACTGCTGGTTTGTGCCATAGTCGTTGAATTTCGATTTTTAAGTCCTGGTATCTTGCGATTTTTTCATGTTCCTTCTCGGCGACCCTGCTATCACCTGGTATTGCGATGTCTATGATTGTGACCTTATTTTTCTCAACCAGTGTGATGTCTGGTGTATTATGCGCCAGTATTTTGTCGGTTTGTATACGGAAATCCCACAAGATCTTGACCATCTGATTTTCTGTGACTTTTTCAGGCTGATGTTCCCACCAGTTTGTTGCTGTTTTAATATTATAATTTTTGCACAAATTCCAATGGATCATTTGTGCTACTGAATTGTGCCGCAATTTATAATCAGTCTGCGCGATTTTTTTACAGCAGCTGAGTATGTGATCAACAGTTTCGTCAGCTTCTTTGCAAAGTCTGCATTTGGCATCATCAGAGGATTTTTCGATTTTGGCCTTAATGGCATTTGTGCGGATAGCTTGTTCTTGCGCAGCCAGGATTAGTGACTCTGTTTCTTTCTTTAATGTACCTATTATTATTATTATTATTATTATTATTATTATTATTATTATTATTATTATTATTATTGATGCTCTTAGAGTCAACAAAAACCCTTCTCACTGTTTTATGAATATAAATAAAATTAAGGACTGATTCCTGTCTTTTATAAGGGGTAAAAAAGGTTAACTACAGATACCTACTATTGCTGGGGGGAAAAAGATACAGAAACAATCAATTTTGATTTAGATCAATTCAAATGAACATTACAGATCAACTTGCATTCAGCTACATCAGGCTGATGCTGAATTTGTAAGCTTAAGATGCTAACAAGAGACAATAGCCTTAGATCCAGCAATTTGCTTCACATAATTAAAAAAAAACCCTTTACATTGTTGATTTTGTTATATATATATGTGCATATGAATAAGAGGTGTGAAGGGATTTAGTTTTGAAAGCAAAAAAATGTTTTTAAAGTGGTGGCACCATAGACTCCATTTGCAACTCCTTAAACCAAGAACATCTGTGTTTTTTTTCTGTTGCAGAACCTGCCCTCTGGGATGATAGCCTCACAGAGACCCAAATGTGATATGTTTGGGAAGTTTTCAAAGAGCTAGCTATTTTCCCAGCTTTGGATAAAATGGGGATGGAGCCCCTGCTGGATGTAATTTCTTTTATATAGTATGTTGTTTCTGGAAAAGTTCATTAATTCTTTTTTGAGTGTGTGGTTTTAAAACTTTAAAGTTTTTTAAGATGCACATTAGCTATAGCTTCTCTAAGAGTTACAGAAAGGTGCTATATTTCTGCCTCTGCACAAACATTTTATTTTCAAATCCAAAGCACAGTATAGTCCTAATTCTTTTATAATATTAATTAACTGAATGGCATGGTAATAAAATACTTGTAAGTATTAGACAGAAAGGAATAGAATTTACTGGATAGCTTTAAGAGTAAGATGTATGCATTAGTATTTCCCATTGGAAAGTTCTGCCCTAAAGGTCAACCTAAATATATTCACCTTTTTTACTTAATGTATTTTCAAATAATGTCTCTGCTCAATAACTTAAGTAGCAATAATCCTATGAAAATATAATTCACATCTTATGGAAAGAAAGTAGGTCACTCGTAGATATTAAGCAGTATGTTAGAAACATGATTTATTCCTGGTGGATAAACTGCTTGAATAATTTCAGGTGTATCTGACATTATGATTATGGTGATCCTATATGGAGTCTCTGCATATGTTTATGTTTATTTATAACATAAATAAAACACTGTCATGTTCATACATTCTGTGTGAATTAGTTACAAGTAACAAGTAGTAAGCATAGCAAATCACTAGGAGGAGGAAGAGAAGATTTCTGCACTTATTGAAAACAAAAGGGGAAATATTAATTTGCTTGGGTCAATATGACCAAGGAAGCAGCATACTTATTTGAGTCCATGCTGATATCACTTAGAAAATGCAGTATTCCTCAAGAGAAAGTACACAGAACTCTTGAACTTTGATTGCCAGTTCACCCTCTTATCCATAACTCAAATTCATTTCAAAAACATATATATATATATATATATATATATATATATATATATATATAT